CGACAATTGAGCCCCCGACAGTTGAGCCTACCGACAGTTGAGCCTACCGACAGTTGAGCCCCGACTATTGAGCCCCCGACAATTGAGCCTCAAATCAATTATAAAATAAATCAATACAAGAAGATGATTTTATTTAAGTAAATATTCATTTTGTCAAAAATAGAAAAGAGCCCTTGCTCGTTTTAAATATATTTCTCTAGACAATACATTAAAGTTCGATGCTAAGTGTTGGAGTTGTTCATCGAGCATTTCGTATTTGATGCGTCTTCTTCTTTTTGCGACTCCAGCTTGTAATTGTTCAGCTACAATAAGATTTGCATGTTGTTCGATTTTTAAGTCTGTTATTGATTCATATACTGAAGGATTTTCACGAGCTGAATTCTAAAAAAAAATTTATGATCGTTTATATGAAAAAGAAATAAAAATTGACCCAACTTTAATAGCTCTATTCCACCCCTCTGATGAATTATTTGTCCGTGGAAGGTCTTGATCTAAACGTAAAAAACAGTTCCACATTTTAATTGCAAAGCGTGGAGCCCGACGACGATTATTACGAATGACACGACCAATAAAGGTATCCTCAAAATAATCAAGAAAATCTAAAACACAAATGGAAATAAGTTCTAAAACTATTTCAAGAAAAATAATTCGTATACTATTTAATGAATCAGGAGAAGTCTCTTGAAGTTTTTCAAATTCAAGAATAACGTATTGTTCAGGAATTAATGCCAAACAGCCAATAGTTTTTAAACAACGTCGTACTTCAGAATTATCTACAAAAGATTGTTGTAAACCAAGATTCTAAATAGAAAGATCAAATATCATTAGAATCAATGAAATTAAGATAAATTATGATCAGTGGCAAATACTTTAATCTTCCTCCACAAACATTGTTTAAAATGAAAAAAGCACCCGCTTATTGATGTTGTTGGTAATGATTGTTTTATTGAATTTTCCACTGCCTTTTCGAAATCAATACTGATCGTTTTTGGTCGACCAGATATATGTTGTAAAATCACACCAAATATTTCATCATATAAAACTTCAGCTGTTCCTGAAACCATACAGTAAACCAATGGAAGTGCTCGACCACATACATAACCAAATATCACGTAAAGCTGTTCAAATAGTTGGGGTGCAATCTAAATAAGAATGAAAGATTAAATAATTTTGTTTTTAGAACTAATAATTTATGTTAAATATACTTTAAATGTGCCGTCACTATGCCAATGCTCCGAATTAGACAAGCAATCAAGATCATCATCGGATGACAATATTATTATTCGCTTACTACTACTTCCATTATCATATAATAAAAATCGACCACCTCCATGAGTCACCTTGAGCCCATCGGGAATCATTATGTCATCAAATGATTTCGGTCTTGGCAATGGTATGTCTTTTTTTCTTCTTTTTCTTTCAATAGTACGTTGTGATGATGTATAATTTGGTACAGCTGTTCCATCGTCTTTACTAACTATCGTTAAAGCTTCATTAATAATACGTCTTGGTGGATAGTACGATGTTACTGCGCTATCCACAATCTTTGACTTGAACTCCATAGCAATTAATTCTTCTGGACATGGTGCGTGAATATGATCAGTTACATTAACATATTGTAAACCATCACAACGTACACGACCAGCACAATTATTTTTATAGCACCGCCAAATTGATTGAGATTTATTAGCACGCCGATAACGAAATCCATCTAACAAAAGCTGGTCCTTGTTTCTGGAAGATTTTACTATAGACATATTACAACAATAATGAACCCAAATCAATATCAACCGTGATTAGTTAACAAATCTTATATAATCGTTGGAAAAATCTTTCGTTCTTATTAAAATTATAGTCGTAGCGAAGGAGGTTATTTTTTGTGAATCATTAAGAGAAAAAGATGGCGCATGACGACGCAGAGTTTTTCTTATTGAACTAAGGAACTCATTACGGGCTCGATATTGTGTTAAATTAATGAGAAGGGCTCAATTGTCGGGAGCTCAAAAGTCGGGAGCTCAACTGTCGGCAGGCTCAACTGTCGGTAGGCTCAACTGTCGGGGGCTCAATTGTCGGGGCTCAACTGTCGGGGCTCAATTGTCGGGAGCTCTACTGTCGGGTCACCGAAAATGT